AACATGGGTCAAAGATCTAAATGTAAGAGCTAAAACTATAATACTCTCAGAAGAAAACATAGAATAAAAGTTCATGACTTTGAATTGGCAATGATTATCTAAATATGACATGAAAAGCACAGGCAACAAAAGAAAAATAGGCAAATTGGACTTCATAGCAATTAAAATCTTGTGCATCAAAGGACAGTATCCACAGAGCAGAAGATAACCCACAGACTGGGAGAAAATATTTTCAAATCATGTACCTAGGGAGAGGTTAATATCCAGTATATAATCCAACACCAAAAAACCAAACAACCCATTTCAAAAATGGGCAAAGCTCTTGAACAGAACAGCTCTTGAAAGAAGAGACAAATAGCCAGTAAGCACAAATGGATGCTCAGCATCACTAACCATTAGGGAAACGCAAATCAGAACATAAGGTAACACTGCAAACCTATTAGGGTGGCTATTTTACAAAAACAGAAGCAAATATTGTTGACTATGTGGAGAAACTGGAAATCTTGTTCTCAGGAATACAGAACGGAGCAGCCACTGTGGAAAATAGTATAAGAGTTCAAAAAAATTAAACATATAATTACCATATGATCCAGTAATTCTACTTCTGGGTATATACAGAAAAGAATTGAAAGCAGGGGACTTGCATAGATATCTGTATCCCAATGTTCATAGCAGTATTATTCACAACAGTCAAAAAGTGGACACCACTTTTCAAGGGATTTTTAGGGCAATGAAATTATTCTGTATGATACTACACTGGTGGTTACACTCCATTATGCATTTGTCAAAACCTACAGAATGCACAACATCAAGAGTGAACCCTAATGTAAACTATGGACTTCGGTTGATAATAATGTGTCCATGTTGGTTCATCGATTGTACCAAATATGCCACACGGATGTGGGATGTTGAGGGCAGGGGAGTATGTATGTGTGCACTCTCTGTATTTTCTGCTTAATTCTGCTGTGAACCTGAAACTGCTCTAAAAAATAGTCTATTAATAAAAAAATTTTTGTAAACTGGAAACAACTTTTGTTTTTTCATGTTCCATGCCACATGAATGGATAAACAAATTGTGGCATAAACAGACGATGGACTGTTACTCTGCCTTTAAAAGGAATGAATTTCATACATACCACAACAGGTATGAACCTTGAAAGCATATGCTAAGTGAAATAAGCCAGACACAAAGGGAAAATTATTATATGATCCCACTGATATGAGCTACCTAGAAAAACCCAATCCTCAGTTATCAAAAGTAGCGTAGTAGTTACCAGGAGCTAGGGAGGGGGTGGGAGTGGTGAGTTGTCATTTACGGTTACAGAGTTTCAGTTGCTGATGATGGAAGAGTTCAGGAGATGGATCGTGGTGATGGTAGCAGAGCAATGTGAGTGAATTTAATGTCACTGAACTGCCCACTTAAGCAGGGTTAAATGTAAATTTTATGTTATATATATTTTATCACAGTTTAAGAAGAGAATTGACTGTTAAAGTAAAAGATGTTTGGCTAATTAACCCTTATAAGTAGAATTAACACGGTGACAACAATAGCAAACAGGACCCCCCAAAATACAAATATATTGTTCTAAGATTCTTATACTACACGTGAACTAGACTATGGTCTATTTCATAGACAGATAATTTAAAGATTAAACTATAATAAAAGCAGAGTATAATAATTGAAAGATTTCTATTTTCAACCTCAGAGAAACTAGTAAAAAAACAGAATAAAATCAATATAGCTAACAAGTCAATAAAGAAGATAAAATGGAATAAAAAAATGAAATGTTTTTAAAAACTTCATTTACTTCTATTTGTCTGGTAACATAAGTGAAGGAGCTAAGTGAAGTGTCATAACAGAAGAAACCGTGCTGTTCTGAGGAGACTGTGCGCAGGGTAAGTGGGTGAAGGCTGGGGTGAGAGGGTGGTTAAATATGTCCATTATTGCCAAATGTGCTTTTTATTTTTTCTCTTTTACGAAAAGCCAGAAATCTATTTATTTATTCCTCCACTTACTTACTTACCCATTTATTTACGTCAACTCTTCTGGTTTTTAAATGTTGCCTCTGTTATTTTAAAATAGTGCCTACTAATTAAAACACACCTGTAGCCTATATGTAGCCTCAAATAAATAATAATTTAATAAAGTGAACAATAAAAGAAATCAATGATGGAGGAAAAATACAGAATGTGATTCCTGTGAACAGCGCATTTATCACTTAGCGTGCCCTGCACCTTCCTACCTTTGATCCTGCTCTTTCTTTTACTGTTTCTGACATTTTCTATCCAAATTCCTTTTCAGAGTCCAAATCAACCGCTATCTTGTCTTAGGAACTTTTCCTCTTCTTCCAGCCAGGACTGACCTTTCTGTTTCCTTACCAACCAAGATCCTCTTGTTCCTGTTTGGGCAAAACACTAAAAAGTCTGTGTCGAGTACACGTGCATCAGTGAGGTTATCATTCCATTAATGAAAAAACTCAGACGCTTACTGAATTCCCACCATGAGCTGGCCCTGTGATATTCATTCATGCTTTTAGCCTAGACTAGCCTCTCTCCAGCATTTTTTCCGTGTACAGCTGCCTCCATGAATCTGTTCTGGAACCTGTCTTTCCCCTGACCAACAAAATTATTCAGTAGCTCCTTGCTTGCATGAGGAAATTAACTCCTTGGCTCCATGTTTCTTGTCTTCCTGTACCTGTCTCATGTTACCTCTTTCTATCTTCACCTTGGACTTGAATTTTCCTAAATACAAGATTATGCACTGTTCCAAGAACATGCCTTACTCTACACGACGGACTCTCAGCTTAGAGCATCCTCCGTTCAACTTCTTGCCAAGCTCTGCTTCCTCGTGGTGACAGTTTTCTCCTTCAGCCATCTGTACTCCACCAGCATCCCCTCCCCCTCCCCCCAACACAGCCTCCCTTCACTGCCTCTGCTCTGGGTGGGGTAGAGGGTGGCTAGGGCCCCACCCACTGCCCAGCTTCCCCAAGTTCAGCTATTTTAGGCTCTCACACTGGAAATGAAATTCTTAGGGAGACCCGTCCAGCACGAAGGTTATGCGGAACTGGGGTGCCCTCTACTGCTTTCCAGAACTATAACTGCTTCGCTTTGTGTCATTCAGTAAAAGGGAAAACGCTAATGGAACAAATGGGAATACGGCTGATAGACCATTACTCAGGGCAAACACTGAATTCCACATTAAAACAAATGTTATGAAATGGTAATAAATATTCTTCTAAAATGTCAATTTCCATAAGGTCATGATATGTTTTATTGTTTCACTATCCCTTCAGGTCCATTTGATCTAAGGCTCTGTTACATGTTCTTAAATATTACAAGAAGAGGCTGGGCTACCATGTCATCACAGGGAGAAGTAAGTATGTAAGCCATATGCTCAAATACAATTTTAAAGATTAGCTCTTTCTAAAGATAGCTTCCATATGTTCCATAATATGCATTGAAATTAAACTGATAGAAAAGTTACCAAAAACATGGAAATTTTAAAAATAATTCATCAAAAGAACATAAATTCTCTTACAGTTGATTTCATTCATTAAGCTGTAAGAATTAGTGTTTAACTCTCGTTAATCCATAATGATCCTGGTTTATCTTTTTTTTTTTTTTTTTTTGCAAAAAGTACTGAATGTTTTTGTCTGGTAATCTGTAAAGCTTAAATTCACTAGTTACCTGAACTCTTTGTTTTACCTTATGTTGTTTAAACCTGAGAAAAGAGGAGCTGTCCCTGGTACCCCTCAACCTCGAAGTCTGACACCTAGTATATGAAAATTATATTGTTCTGATTGTTTTTAATTTAATGATCTTGACTGTCAATAAAATTTATCTTCGTGATATGACTTATGAGAAATTAGAAAATAAAGCAATTCATGTATTCAATTCATTCATTTTAGAATCAGAAAATCTTCTCAAATGAACATCTTACCTAACATATTTCACGCAGAACCACTGAAATCAGAGTTATTTAATACTGTGACTAAGTGTATATTCAGAATAGCACTTTCTTTTATTTGCAACATTTATGTATTTTTATGTCCTGTTCCTGAAATATATTCACAAGTTGTTATTTTCAGAAAATCTCAGAATTTTTGGAATGTGCAAAAGTGCCAGCAGTCAGCTGTGATTTGGAATACATGGCATTAGACGTAACTTAAGAATAGAGTGACTTCACACAGCGAAAGATTAAAGAGCCTTTCCGGAGGAGAGTTAGAAATGTGCCTTTCTCACAGTTATTCTGTTAAAAGTAATTCTAAACAATGCAGTGTCACAAAAAGGAGTAGAAGTAATAGTATTCTTCCCATCACGTTCTTGGTGGTTTTACTTTAAATCTTAGCATCTCCCCCTGGGTGTTCTAGCCAAAAGCCCCCCCCCGCCCAGGAAACCAGACGCTGCCATCTGAAATCCAAGGAACCTTGCTTGTCTTTTGCGGCCCTGTTCCTGCCAGCCTCACCTCTCAGGGTCTGCCCACTGAGGCCGAGAAGACATTATCCCAACAATGACACCCCACGCGCGCGTTGCGGGAGGCGGTGCCCCGCGCCAGTGCCTGCGCCACAGACCCCAGGGCCCCTTGCTCCTGAAATGGCGGCTTCTTGTCATGAATTGCAACTTCATAAAACCCCCAAATGTATATTGCAATTAGGTGAGCGTTTAATTCTAATTAATTTCCAGTCTTACTCTGACTTTCCCTCCCGTAGCACTGAATTAGAGATTTAAAAGGGGAGGGGGGTGGCTCACAAGCTAGTTTCTTTTCTAAATTGAATAGGAGATGCAGACAGAGGCCTGTGCTGGGGACTGAGGCGGGGCTGAGGCCAGATCTGTAAGGTGCTCAGGGTCGGCCCAGAAGAGGAAGGCTCTCAGAGCAACGGCCTTCGGCCGCTGCCTGCTGCCCCCTCCCTCTCCACCTCTGCTCTGGAAACAGCGGCAGGTGCTTATTACAAGGAGGCACCGATATGCTGCTGAAGGCCCTCGAGAAACTTCAGAAATGTGGCCTGTCCCAAACGCGGCCAAGCCGCGGGCCCTGCGCCCTCCCCCTCCGCGGAGCCGGCCCGAGGGCGCATTTGGTGAGAGTCTGGCGGCCTCTACCGGAGCGCCTCTGCAGAGGAACGTTCCTCAAAGCCGGAGACGACATGTGGCGCTCGGGAGAGGTGAGAGCGAGCGCGCCAGTGCGCTGGGGGCGCGGGGGGGTCTGCGGCGGGCAGCGCGCGGCCTCGGGCGCGGCGCGGATCGGAGCCGCAGGGCGGCGGCGGCGGCGGAGC